GCGAAGGGCTACCTGCAGCGTTATGGAGTTGACTTCGAGGATACATATGCAACGGTGGCGAAGTTACCAACCATCCGGACTGTGCTAGCTGTAGGCGTCCACTACGAGTTCCATTTCCATCAGATGGACGTTAAAACTGCCTTCTTGCATGGAGATTTGAAGGAGGATATCTTTATGGATATTCCTGAAGGAATCCAGGCTCCAGCAAATATGACCTGGAAGTTGCTGAAATCATTGTATGGATTGAAGCAATCTCCACGATGCTGGAATGAAAAATTCAACAGTAAACTAGTCAAGATGGGTTTCAAGCGGTCCCGCCATGACTACTGCCTATACACACGATGCGAAGAAGGAGACGAGCTGTACGTTGTACTCTATGTGGACGATTTGCTAATCGCAGGGAGGAAATTGGAATCCATCGCACGTATGAAGGAGAAGCTTTCGACTGTGTTCAGCATGACTGACTGTGGAGAAGCACGCCACTTTCTGGGAATGAAGATAGCGTACGATCGGCAAACAGGAGTTCTTCAACTTTCGCAAGAGGCGCACGTGGCAAGAGTCTTGGAGCGTTTTGGACTGGCTGAATGCAATCCAGGAGAAGGGACTGCAATTGCAACGAGAGGGGACACCAACTGAAGAACCCTACAGGGAGCTACTAGGCAGTTTAATGTATACTATGCTGTGCGTTCGGGTATCTGGGGACGCCACCAGCAAAAACCAACAGAAACATACTGGCAGTGCTTGAAGCGAATCGTTCGTTACCTGAAGGGAAGTGCCAATGCTGTATTGAAGATCGAACGCAATGATTTGCTGATGCTTACTGGGCGGCCGACAATGAAGATCGAAAATCAGTCACGCGATACGTCTTTAAGGTGTTTGGATCAACGGTATCATGGTGCAGCAAGTTGCAAACTACAGTTGCTATTTCGTCAAGTGAATCCGAGTATGTAGCTCTCAGCGCCGCTACTGCAGAATCCCTGTGGTTATCTGGAGTACTTGAAGATATGAAGGCCAAGGATCCGAAAACACCTGTCGCCATATTCGAGGACAACAGAGGCTGTATTGGAATGGCGAATAACTTGGAGACGAAACGAAGCAAACACATTGATGTTAAACACCATTTCATCAGGGATCATATTGCCGAAGGACGCATCCAAGTGGAATCTATTGGTACTCGCGAACAATTAGCTGACATATTCACCAAGCCATTGGACTCTGGACGCTTTCAAGAACTACGGATGAGTCTAGGGCTACACGATTGAGAGGGGATGATATCGAAGGAACCTGGAAGCCAGAAGCAATCGTTTAATTTCATCTCAGTAGTCCTGCTTATTTGACTTTTCATTTTTCTGTTCCATTATCAAACTGTCTTTCAAAGAAACCACACGTTAATTGGAAGAGCTCTGCTTTCACTCATAAAAGTTCTTTTGTAGGTTAATACCTTCCGGATGCTCAGTTCAGATCATTACGGATCGTCGCATTGGTATTGTGAACAGTAAGTTATAAAGTTTTACTGATGTTTCACGACAAATCGGTTTGATATGGAACGCTTAGACCCACGGGAACGAGGTTTGGTACTGTTTGGTGCTTCCTGATTAAACGTTTTGCAGATTTTCCCTTCAAAATTCTATGCAACTTAGAATACAATTGTAATTGATCATTAGGGACTAATGAATCAGGTTTGTGGTGGAATTTGGCCATTTCCACTCTCGCGTGGTGAAATCTGTTCCAGATGATTTGAAGCGGCCGCATAAGTTTGTACTAAGATCAGTCGATTTCCGACCTCTACACGTAATTCTCGTTCAGGAAAAAACCTATATTGTAAGGAATTTGATAATTTTGCCCATCCGGAAGTCACCATCTTGATTTCAAGAAGGTATCAATAATCGATTTCTATCCTCTACACGACGTCCCCGTTTCGAAAATACCCATATTGTACGATATTCGACAGTTTTTCACAAACCGGAAGACGCCATCTTGGATTCCAAAATGGCGTGAATTATCGATTTCCGACTAGGGGCAAGTCAGCTATACTCTGAGCTAATATATTTACATTGAGTAACTGTGAGTTACTCGTATTTACTCAAAAAATAACTAAGCATCCTCAATTTTAATTTTTCTATATTTACAAACACATTGACGTCAGCCATTATGAACAGATTTCACACGCTCTCACTAGCAGAAGAAAATCATCGCATAGACCGAGGGGGCGACACATCTAAATCTCAATTCTAGATGCTCAAAAAATCACACACTAGCAAATCAATCTTCGAAAAATCATCTTTAATTTCTCGCATCTACTTGCATCGTGCTTCATCTTTTTGCAGGAAATCTTCAAAATCGACATAAATCTTCCTTCTATCTACTCAGCGTGCGTGCAGCTAGCCACAGCAAAACACAATCTTTTCTGCATCGTAGATAGAGTCGTCCCCTTCGGCATAGACGGAGGACTGAACTATCTAAAACGGTCGTGCGTGTTCAATGATCAGTCCATCTCAACCAGGTCACTGTATTGAACGGGTAGGAGACCAACGACGGCATTTTAATTAGCTACGTTGTTCCTAGTTTAAGTCAAATACAAATAGTGATAAGCTTAAAAAACCTTGTATTGCATGTTTTGGTGTGATAAAGAAAGGGCTATGTATTATTTAAGTCTTTAGTACCCTTTGTTTGCCGTGAAGCTGGAAGGTAAAGGCCCACCCTAGTTCAAGTCTCTTGGTGAAACAATTTATTTCATTTATTTATACTGATGTAAGCTGAAAACGATTGTCTATGTTCCAACATCGATCAAACGAGCTTCATCAACTATAATATGGATTTAGATAAATGATTATTAAATTCGGAAGTCACAGTGTTATAACTTATATAGTCGATAAGTTGTAGCCACATTAAAACCCGTATTCTTCTTTCTAGATCATCAAGAACTATTCTGTTGTTTATTTCAGCTTGAGCGAAACCACAAATATGTAAATACGGAGAGAAACCTGTTCAACTGAGTTGCTGCGATACAAATTTTCATTTTGACAACGATATTCATTATTGAGTAACGCGAGCAACTCAGAGTAACTCAAGATTTGCTCAAAAATTACTCATGATCGAAAGCTGTCTTGCCCCTAGATTTCCGGTGTCTACATGTCGTTCCCGTTCCCGAAAATATGTACCCATTGAACCGGCTTGAAGTACACTTCCAAGTTTGTTTTTTGGCTAAGTACATTCCTCAGAAAACACTAAACACTAAAAAAAAAGACTTGGTCAAATATTTGTCAAATAGTCTGGCTCTAGGGGTGAGACAGCTTTTGATAATGAGTAATATTGGAGTAAATTTTGAGTAACTCTGACTTACTCGAGTTGCTCAATATTCAATGCACGGTGACATAGCAACCTGCATTCCACGATTGTCAAGCAAAGAAGTTTGTCGAGGAAAATCTACGTTCATCATTTAACAACATTACATACCGGATTGCCATCCACAAAATCCGTGTTGCAGCCTGCAAAATCTGTGTATGCTTATCATTGTTTTACGATGATAATAATGGAATTTTCAAGTGAATATGGAGTTGACATAATTTAACGTATTGATGATGCACATTTTGGCAGAGGTTTCAAAGACTACGGCTTTATGACTCCAGGACTGTATTGCTCACGAATGAAAACTGAAGCTTTTGGTGGTAGTTTTTCTCTTCCTTTGCATAGCGTTTCACTTCCGACTTTGGAGAGAAATAATCATTGAGGAGTTACAGTTTTCACAAAGTTTAAACCGAGATTATTGGAAAGATCATTGACTAGTCAAATATAAAAATTTACTGCTCTATCTGAACAATTCAAACTAGAATTCGCAACTCGTGTTAACTTATTTATATAAGACGCTGAAATTAAATCATACATTTGAAGCGGTTAAGATTCTTAATCTTCACCGATTTTGCTTGATTGGTCAAATCTTGAACAGGCTTAAAACTAAAAATAGGTCTAATCAACACTTTCCAATGCATGATCATTATAAGAGTCAATGCCAAAACTGCTAATAGAATGCTAAATTAACCATCGAAAGAACACACCCTTGGCAATTCGTAATAAAGCACGCCAAATAACGGGTTCATTTCTAGGGATCATATCGTAAATATCTTTTCCTGATTTGTCAACTTTATTGCCCACGATAGTAGAGACCACGCATATAAGAGTAATTCATACTGAAAAGAAGAACACACGGATTAATGAGTATTTGATGCAAGAATACAAAAAATAGCATACGGATAGGATTACCCTGACACTCTGACAGATAATGCATGTTTATACTGATTTATTTTTTTTTTATTTCTTGACGAATGTGAGACTACTTTGATCACTTTTGAGTAAATATGAGTTGCTCAAATTTGCTCACTGTGAAAATATTAACTCTGAGTACAGCCGTCTTGCCCCTATGTCTGGCTTAGGCAAACAAATATCACAAATAGTATTATTTAGCAAAACTTAACGAGACAAATATTTGCCGTGGTGGATATCAGCTTTAGATCTTAACATCATCTTCGTTATCTTTTTCAAGTATTACTTGAAACGTGTGTATCTTAAAGATATTTGAAAAAATCAGCACCTTGAGTTAAAATCGCTTCATTTCAAACTTCTGTGATTCACCGAAAACTCATTCGAATAACTGATACTGACCACTCTGTCTTTCCCTTTCGAGCGACCACGCGACGCTACATACGACATCTCTGTGCAACAAAACTTGGCAATCATGCAACACATCGCTATCAAACGCCGCAAAAAAAAGCACGTTTTCACCGTCTACTTCAACTCCTGTCAGAGTGTTTGTAAGAAATTGGTATCAACAACACATTGGCAAAAAGCCTCCCGCTGCTGCTGCCCCATCCCTCAAGCTCGAAATTCAAACAACAATTTAACCAACACCGACTCAGAAGCAACCATCGGAGCAACCAGAGAGCTCCGTCGCGTTCCGGAGCAGAGCCCAATCCAATATAGGGTTGTAGCGTAGGCAAAAGGTAAAACACACTGCCGCCGTGTTTTCAGTTGAGATCGCGAGCGTCCCGGAGAGAGACGTCGGTTTCCCGATTTACTCGATTATCCCCACAGTGTCAGTCAGTCAGTAGGCCCAAAAACCTACATAGCTCTATATAGTGGCAGAATCAGTAGAATAGAGAAGAGGGAGGCTTTTTTTTATTTTGTAGTCATCGTCGCTGTCGTCGTTGTCGCGTGTCCACCTCCTCCCATCGTCGAGTGTCTGTGCGTTTGACAGAGTGCGTGCTTTGGTGCATCCAAATAAAAGTAAGCTCGGTCGTCGGAAAAACTTGTCGTGTGGTTCTTCTGGTTACCGGAGCGCAATGTGTACGGTTAATGATTTTAACGCTTGAGAAGAAGTTTTCCCCGCACGAATGCCTACCAGTCGTCGATTGAAGAAAGAGGAAAATTGGTGAAAATTCTCAGTGCATGAAAAAAAATAGAAGGAAAGGTTCTTCACACGTCACGGGAGGCTCCATGTTCTGTATTTTGGTGTTTGCTTTGTGTGTCGGTGAATTTTAGGTTCAACTGAATGAGAGTGTCAGTCTATTGCTAGGAAAGGAGCGAAGAACTACGTTCAGTGATTGGAAAAGAAGGTATGAATGGAAAGTTCAAGTCACAAGTTCAATCGGTGTCAGTGGGTGGTGGAGGTGAATAGTAGGCGGTGGCAGATGAAAATGTCACAATTTACCTTTCGCTCGGTTGACTTGATTGGAGAAAAGTGTACTATTCTCGGGGAAGAAAAAAAAACATAACATGAATACATAGCAGGCTTAAGGTTCAATTTACTTTGATGCATTTTAAAAAAATTTAAAAGCAGTTTTTTTCGATGCATTATTTTAGATTGCAAAAAGCTCGCGTCATTTTGTGTAAACTATCAAAAGGAATCGAATAGTGCAAGTTTTTTGCAATCTGAAATAATGCGTCGGAAAAAACTGCTTTTGAAATTTTCCAAAAAGCATCAAAGTAAATTGAACCTTAAAGTGATAACAACTCCCTAATCAATACGAGCAGCAGGCGAGAGAAGAAGGCAATAATCATCGCAAAAGAGGTCAAATATGTCGCTCACGACCAGTGTCTAAATGTACACGTCAAGTCAGAAGTAACAACACAGCCGGATCAATATTTTCGCCGTTTGGTCGCGCAAAAATAGGCTAGTGAGACGCTAAATGGTGAAGTCATCTGGGATATAAACAGCAGTGGCAGACGAACACAATTTCGGGTGACTTTTGCACTCTCTCTCGCTCCTTTATGTGTACCAAAATCAAGACGGACGCCAGCAGGATAACTGTATAAGTCTCACATGGATCCTTTGGTGGCGCCTGAGGCAATTATTCCGGCGACAACGAACGACAACGATCCTATGAAATCACTACGGGGAGGAATTTGCCTTACACACCATTTACAGCAGAGAATTTTTAAACAGGGTGGAATAATACGGTCATAAATGGGTTGACGGTTCAGGAATTGCTAATTCCGCTAATGTGCCAGTGGCCAGAAAGTGCGTGACTGGCATGCTCTTCGGTTCCCATTAGTGTCCAGAATGGGTTCACACGTAGCTTGGTGCCCATTCCCGCCGCTTGACTGGGCACGAATTACCCCGAGCATGCCATTGATTTTTCCTCCCATCATCCTTCGGACTGCCCTTTACTGCTGCTGCTGTTTGTTTTGCTCTGGGCGTTCCGTTACGGCTTTCCATCACGAACTATGGGGGTAGGTACGTAGAACATATAGAGGAGCCCTCAAGTCGGACGTGTTTGCCCTCTGTGAACATAAGTCGACCATCCGCTCATGTGAGTAGAGTGTGTCGTTGCGTGTCACGACCGGTGACGCTACGCGAAAATGACATGTAAACTGAAGAACGTGAACACGACATGGAAAGGGGAAATATCCTTTTGGAAGTAATTTTCATAACGTACGTGTTGTGTGTTAATGTGAGGGATATTTTTTTTTTGCTAGAAGGATTTTAATTGCATGAAGTGGCATGTCACAAATTTACGCTGATGCTTACAACCGCAAACAGAAAGCGTAATTTTGGGCCCAAGAAAATTGACATCATGCTAATGAAGAAGTCGTAATAGGCAAAGGAAAACAAATCATCAAAGTAGGAAGATGATGCTGGTGCTGACGACACCATTTGCGTAGCTCTTTATTTGACTGTGTTAAACAATGAATTAAGTTTTCAGTAGGACGATTCTAATACAAAATCAGTTTTCATATTATATTTTTAAATAATCTTTTCTTGAAAAAGTAGTATCTGGGGGACTTATAGGGGTTGTTACATTTTTAAATTAGTTTTCAAGATTTCTAAAGTTCTTTTATTTATTTAATAAAATTCCGTTCCCACAGATTTAATCTTAAATTGAGCATTTGCATGCTTTTAGCGATCAGGCGTGTCATGGTGGATACTCCAAAAGTATCAAACTCCTGAAACCGATTAATATTTATACCTTATTATGTTGTTTTTCCTTTTAATTCTATTGTTATTGTGTCTCTTTCACTATCACTCATTCACTCAGAGTTGGGAGGAAATGGTATACTTATATCATCATGAAGCTTTAGTGTGATAATTTATTAGCTAGAAAATGTTCTGAAAAGGGTAGGTTGATTGTTCCGCTAGAGAACGGCAGTGTGAAAATTGAACAGAAGTTGAATTTGAGTGAAGAGCCATTAATGCGACAATACTTATCAAATTCACACTCCTTTACCTTGCTTTACATTGAAGGGATTTGATGTATTTTCACAAATCTAAAGGCAAAAAAGTGCGCATTTGACTTACCCATATACTGTCTGCGGCTGTGGAATAGTTTTAGCGACGTGTTTTCCCCCTTGATTTGTTTTCCGTCGGTCTTGTTTTCCGTACTGAGTACCAATGCCACCGACGCCAGGGAGGCAGCTTCCACACTTGGACCCTACCTATCGACCCATCAACTCATAAACCGGGGACAAACGGCTTTACTTCCCTTCCGAAGGAAGGCATGATCAGAGATTTTATGCCTCAGAAAATCCCGGTGCCGCTGACTGGGATTGAAACCAGGCCTTTTGGGATGAGAGGCAATCACGCTTAACACTAAACCACCACCTACGCCGCTGAAAGCCCCACGTTGCCGGATGCATTTCCAGGCGATGGTGTGTTATAATGCTACTTTACCCAACTATTGTGTTGGTTCTCTCGTCATGACGAAGGTAGATCTTAAACTAGGTATACAAGGCTTGGTTCCGATAAATTCATAACAGATGCATTAACTTCTGGGAAATTCCCTGGGCTCGCAATAAGTTTCAGGTCTTTAAGGAAAGTCCATAAAACTCCAAAGAACTTATAGGTTTTCAGGGCAGAGTCATTTTTTTCAGGACCGTGCCAAGAACTTCAGAAGCGTTCATAGAACTTCAGGAAAGCTCCGAGAACACCAGGACAGATCAAAGAACCTATGGCCCGTTCAATTAATTAAAAAAAAATGCTGGATCTTTGAAGGAGTTTCGAGAAACTCTCTGAGTGTACGATAACTTCAGCAACATTCCGAGGGCATTAATAAAATTTAGGTAACGTAAGAAATCAAACTTTGGTGGGATCTTTAACGAAGAATCTAGATCTTCAAGGCAGTTCAAGGGGTAATCAACTCTGCACACTGTGCCGAAACACAGCATGGCACACTATTCGGATGCTGTGAGTATTGCCTGCACCTGTCTGAACCATGAAACTAAGTTTATCTCATCCGATTCGTAGCGAATATCCCAGCGGCTCGTGTTTTCGTCCAGAATAGCTTCACGCCAACTGAGTTCTTCCACACCATAGTCTGTCGAGAGGGTCGATACGCCAGTGAAGATGGCCAAAATGGGTTTCCTCCTGCAACGGTTGGTCAAAGGCCTGTAAGGTCGTCCAATACGATCTTACGGTGCAGTGCGGAATGCGATCGGCGAACTGAATGGAAAATAATCCTCTGACTGCATCATAGGGGGTGTGTGTGGTGGGTTTTGTATTTCGGCCAGGTTAGAATCCCGGTCTTACCAAGGGTCTTCCGGGATGAAAATTTTATCGTTTCTCCTATGTTTTTCCTTAGGTATCCTTGCCAGTCATTGGTTTCAATTGGTGGACTTCAATGTGAAATCCACAGGACTTTGTTGGGATGTACATACAAGTCCCAGTACTTATTGCGGGATGTCGTTACGTATTAACCCCAAATATTCCATCAGGTCTGAACGATTGCCTTAGCGAAACAGTATAGGATTTATAGGAACAGATCAATGCAATCAAAAATGCAATTACATTCTATTCCGTGAGTGCACGCCATCACCAACGATCCCATCTCCACTCTTCTGTTGCACTAGTTCGTCTGGAAAAGATCCGGTGAGATGAGTGGCCTACCAATCAATCAATTATAAGGCCTTGCTTAATCTCGAAAGTGTATGACGCATGACGACAATAAGTAATTTGCTGTTCGGCAAGATTCCATGGGCGTGCAGCAAGGGCGTAGCCAGGTTTCGAGCAAAGGAGAGCCGAAAAAAAAATTATGGAAAATTTGGCCGAATGCCATTTCACCGAAAGCCTTTGTGTTTCTGGGTTTAGGGCGAAGGTGCCCTCCCCTGTCCCCCTCTGGCTACGCCTATGCGTGCAGATGAACAACAACATCCACAGGGTACAGTTGAACTACAGATGCGAAGTTTATCTGGATCGTGCACCATTTCCGAGGTATGACAAATATGAAGTGGGGGGACACTTGATACTTTTCACTGTTTACCACCTGTGTTATTTGTTTTGATTGGTGGTACCTTGTGGTAGGTATCACATCTGCAAAGGAGCGTGAGCTTGATAGGCTTGAACGTGTGTAGTTGGGTGATGGTAGGAGACATCACAATCTGCGATACGATAAGCTTGGGTAAGGGGCTGTCCATAAACTACGTAGACAGTTTAGGGGGGGGGGGGGTTGACAATTATCCACGGCCCATACAAATTTTAAAAAAATTTGTATGGACAATTGTCTACGCAGGGGGAGGGGGGGGGGGTCAAAAATCCCAAAAAACTGTCTACGTAGTTTATGAAGAGGCCCTAATGTCTTTGAGGTTGCGTAGATCTGAGTCGATAAGAACTGTTTCGAGGATGTTGTTTCTAGGGTGGGAGTGAACTTTCGTCCGTTCGAGTTCTGGGTTTGATTTTTTCGGGGACTATTTAATATTGAAAATTTCGTCCACCGTCCGATTCTTGTGGACGGGTCATATAGGTTGATATATTGAAAATGTAAACACAATCACAAAAGTCTAACTTCAGGGTTCCCAAACTCATGGGATATTGACATCTTGATTGATACACTTCGGCCTACTTCGGAATGATCGGCACAACGCTTGGCACAGCTTTCGGCACTGCCAAAACTCTTGGCACAGATTAAGGTGTGCAGAGTTGAATACCCCTTGAGGCAGCTATATTAATTAATTGAGAGAATTAATAAAAAAAAGGTCGGAAATCTTCAAGAAAGTCCAGAGAAATCCACACGAGGATATTTTTAGATAGTTTCATTATATTCAGGGGTACATCAAGGATGACCATAGAACTTTAGAGCAGTCCCATTAGCTTCAGGAAAATTTCAAGAACATTAAAGGGGTT